ACCCGACTCCTTAAAGATACTCAATTGTAGTAATACTCAAATAAATAGCTTACCAACTTTACCCAACTCCTTAACGGAACTCTATTGCTATGAAACTCCAATAGCAAATAGCTTACCTTCTTTACCTGACTCCTTAACGAAAATCTATTGTTGTAATACTCCAATAAATAGCTTACCAAATTTACCCGACTACTTAACAATACTCAATTGTAGTAATACTCAAATAAATAGCTTACCAACTTTACCCACCTCCTTAACAAAACTCTATTGCTATGAAACTCAAATAAATAGTTTACCAACTTTACCAAACTCCTTAAAGATACTCAATTGTAGTAATACTCAAATAAATAGCTTACCAAACTCTATTGCTATGAAACTCAAATAAATAGTTTACCAACTTTACCCGACGACTTAACAAAACTCCATTGCTATAAAACTCAAATAAATAGCTTACCAACTTTACCCGACTCCTTAAAAAAACTTTGGTGTTTTGATACAAAAATAAGTAGATTACCAAATTTACCCTATTCATTAATAGAGCTCAAACCTGTATCTTTATATTATTAAAGAATTTTTCATCATTATTCTGTTTTTTAAATTATTTTTCAGCAACATTTATATTGCATTTAATGTATTTTTCAAAGTAGATATTTATTTTCATTCTCTTTATTAAATTTAATCCAAATCCTATATTTTTTAAGAGTATAGTATATAAAACACAACCATTTTTATATAGATTGCACATATTAATCATGATATTATTTATGATATGACATATTTTAGAGAATATTAACTTTTATTTATTGTTTGATAAAATTATTGAAAAGTTGTAGAAATTATTTTATAAAATATAAAATACAATTATTATGAAAATAAAAATAATAATATACATTATAATAAATATAATAATGATAATCATGATAGCAATAAAATTAATGAAAATGATGATCACAGTTTTTATGATAAACATTGGTGACATTAGTTAGCGCAGTCATTTAGTGATATATACGGATAATTACTAACAATCCTTTAATATAAAGTATTTCTTCTTTTATTTATAGGGCTCTATTAATATTCTGTACCTTAACAAATTTGCTAAATTAGCAATGAAGTTTTTTTTAACTATCAAACTAAATTCATTATATTTGGCTAAATTTTGACAACGATTTATTCTATCTGTGAATTTAATATGAATTATATAATATGAATTTTTCTAAGTTTTCAATATTAATAAAAATATAAAATCAACAACTTTACCTAGTCTTGGGTATTTACATAAATTTATCAAAAATTGCAATTGATAGCGGGATTCAATTTTTTTAATATGAATAAATTATTTTTTTTATATAAATATCCTGTATTGTTATTTTGACAACTAATAAGTTTTATCATATAATTAATAAAATATAATCTTAATAATATAAAAACTTTATTTTTGCTAATATCTATTTCCTTAAATATAAATCATTAATAAAGATAACCTGATCTTATAACTTAAATAAATTCATATTTATTATTTTTATAGTTTATAACTTAAACTCCTTGTTAGCAATTAAGCTTTGTTACCCTAATGACATGATGTTAAGGCTAAACAGAATATATTATAAAAAACTACTATTGATTATTCCAGAATTAGAAAAGTAATTCAAATAAAATTAAACATATTTGTAAAATTGATACATAAAATAAAAAAAAAATAAATAAAGTAAACTTATCCAAATATTTTATATGAAAGGATAAAACGTTTTAGTGAAGCTAATTATAAAAAATAAAATAAAAATAAAAATAAAAAAGTAAATACAATTTATGAAAATATTATATAATCTATTATGCAATAATCGAAAAACACTTTATAATTCTGTTAATATTATATGATCAAGTATTATCCAATTAAAGTTAAACTATTAGAAAAGTTAAATATAAAAAATATAAAAACAAAATTAAATAAAATAAAGCAAACCTGATCCATAGAAAATTTCTATAAGTTCATATATAAACACTTCTATTGATTATTTTGCAATTAAGTGCATTGTTCAGTTAAAGTTAAATGCGTTAGTAATGTTAACACAAAAAAAACAAAAAAAAATTAAAAAAATAGCAAAATCTGATTTTTAGAAAATTTTCTATAAAGTTTATCTATTATTTCAATAGTTGTTTAATAATCAAGAGCTTTATTTAGTTCAAAAAATATGATTTAAGTACTTCTATTATGCAATAATAAAATTTCCATTAAATATTCACAATCAAGAGTATTGTTTAGTTAAATTTGAGCAATTAAAACATAAAAATAAATCAAATAATAGAACTATTAATTCTTCAATATTAACTATAAATACTTCAATAAACAAGAGTATTGTCCAGTTAAAGTTAAACACTTTATTCCTTAATTCTATTTTAAGTTAATTTCCAGATTTTATTTGTTATAATAATTACTTGTATATTTCATTAAAGTATAATACCTGATATTTCTTATGAATTTCTCACAATATATTATTTAAAAAAGGTAAATATTTAAAAAAAATGTAATTTTGCTCAAATACATTATTGCTATTTTATAAATAAAAATTAATTTATTAAAAAATTACTTCTGCCAATCATAAAAATCAATTGGCTCTCTATATCACATAAAATATTTTCCCAAAATATTAATTTAAAAATTTCTGTATTTTAAAAACTATTAATATATGAGATTAATTTTCAAAATTTTCTTTTTAAATTTAGAAGCTTTTGTTTTAAAAAAAATAAAATATTTAGTATCAAATGATGCTAAATTTAAGTTTTCTTTTAGTAATATTAAGATTTCTATTTCCATAACTCAATTTTTTATGGGGTGTTCATTAGGATCTAATTAATCAAATCTATATCTAGTTCTATAGTAAAATTTATTATTAATAGTTTTGTGAAATATACTAATCAAACCTAATTATTTGCTACTATTATTATAATTTATCCTAATAAAAAATCTTAAATCTTTCAAGTTTAATAACTTTGCTTAAGTTAGCATTCATACAAATTAAAATTGTAAATGGATATATAACCTAAAATCTATATGATATCATGCTTTTTTGTATAATAACAAAAAAATTTTTTTATGTATAAAAAGATTTGTTTATTATTTCTTGAAGTGTAAATAATATTTTTTTGAAAAAAAACAAGCTGTTATATAAAAGAGACAATAATTTAGAATGTTTTTATAAAATTTGAAATAAAGATAATAAGAGAATCTAAAGTTATTAAAAATTTATTATTAGAGATTTTTTAATTTTTACGGCATTAATTTCTATCAGTTAATATATCATTAAAAATTATATTGAACACAATATTTTAAAATTATACTTAAAATAAGATTGCAAAATAAATATAATAGCTTTTATAACTTTTAATAATATATTATTTATCCCTAAATCACATTTACATTAATCAATTTGTATAAAGCTTTTAAATATGAAATATGCTGAACTTTTCTAGTTTAAATAAAAAAATCAATCTTTATAGAAAAATAATAATTTTCAAATAATTCATTTACTACTCTAGTTCTCTCTGTATTCAATATTCAAATCCTATGTAATTTTATTTACATTATTCTTCAAATCTAATTTTTACTTTACTTCTATATTTTTAACTTTTATTTTACAAGCTTTTTTAATTGATAAGCACAATTTGAAATTTATGACATTTTCAGTAAAAAAATCCTAAATTTTCAAAATTAAATAATGTATTTTAAATTAAAATTCAAAAAAAAATAAAATATCTAAATGAATATAATATTGCTTAAAGAATAATGTAATAGTTTATTTTTTGAAAAAAAAAGGTCTTTTTTAATATTAAATTAATCACGAAGGTTTACTTTATCATTATTAATTGTAAATTTTTTTAAAAAGAAAACTTGTCACTTGAAAGAATGAGATTTTTTAAATATTCATAAAATTTGAGATAAGAATATCAAAAAGGATCTAAAATTATTTAAGATAGAAAATATAACAACCTTAATAAATAGTAAAAATTAGAGTATAACATAGCTTAATATGAAAAAAAACTCTAATAATAAATTTTTGTTATATTGTACATATATTTTAATTTACATAGTTGACAGAATACCTTAACATTTCATATTCTCATAATTTTTGAAAGATAAAATTTTTGAGTTTATTATTTATATTATATTATCTAGTTTTCATTATATGCATCATTTATACTTATCAAAAAGCGTAGTATAGTAATAGTTAGCAATTTTATATAAATAGACCTGTAAGTTGACCTTGAATCGACAGAGTTTTGCTCAGAGATTGAGATAAGTCTTGGGACTAGACTTATAACTCTAAAGTTTTAATAAATTTACTATATTATACTTTCAACCTTCTTCTTGTCCTCATCATTGGATTGATCGTGATAACCTACTACACAAGTGAATCGTGATAATAAATTGTTTTGTTTGTTAATTGTTAATTTCTCTTAGGAAAGGTCTTTGAGTTAATTGCGACATTAAGTTTATTAGTTTTGTTGGCTTGGTTTTGAGACGATTCCAGGTCTAACACCGGAATTGTTTAATTGTTTAATGATTTTAATTTTTCGAAATTGTTAACGGGAAAATCATCAAAGCAATTACATGACAAACAATTCGATTTATGAAACGTCGACGCAAAGCGAAAGATAATATAAAAATTTTTGGTTAAAACTTCCCTTAAACGGTGAATAATGACAAAATGAAATAATTCAATATTCATTTACCATTCAATTACGAAATAAAACAAATAAATAAATGCAGATGCAATAATTATACTGCACCGAGATACTACAAACTGTTCAACAATTTAATAAATTCCAAATTTATTATTCTCTTTATAAAATGACGAAAATCACATATATTAGACTAAATTTAATAAAACGAACGTAATGATTTACTAAACAATCTTCTTGCTACATAAATTATTTAGTTATTAAGATAAAAATAACAGCGCATATATCATATGAGGTGAATTGCAACGACTAATTCGCCATTTCTATTTAACATCATTTCTTCGGATTTCATCCATTTCTTTTTGGAATCCCTGGACAGTCTTGATGACTTTGATAACATGACCTACGGTAAAGTCCTGTCCTTGACTTTTGGCCAACGTTTGCGCGGTTTGAAGGACATTGCGGATTTCACGATCGTTCAAATCATATTCAACAAAATCATCTGCACAAAGGGGGAAATTGCCTTTCCTGATGAAATTTGTCCATATATTGCGTCTTTCTTCCGAATTGAATTTGGGGTAATGGAAGAACATATTAATTCGTGAGCAGAACGCATCATCAAATGACATGACGCGATTTGTCGTCAAGAAGAGAATGCCTGGATAACGAACAAAAAAAAGGTGATTTAATTTCTCTAATATAGAAACAATATGACAGGAATGACAAGCGCGAAGCTTTCTGACCTCGATAATATTCCAAGCGACGTAAAAATACACCAACCATCGCATTACGTTTTAAATCAGTTGTGTTACGTTTTTCAAGGTAAATATCAGCTTCATCAAGTAGGAGGACTGCCTTTCACGCATATGATATATCTAGAAGTTTGACCAATTGCTGATCCAGTCTGCGTACAAGGAATATGTAGCGATGACGAAAAGAATCAGTACCATGAAAACTTATAATTCAGTATGTATTTATAACAAAATATGTACATACTCGGCAGGTTCCATCCCAAGTTCGTGTGCGCTGAGCATCCATAATGGCCTTTTGAGAAATTCGGCTACACTTTCAGCCGTTAATGTTTTCCCAGTTCCAGGTGACCCGTAGCATAGAAAGATACAGCCATTGCCTTTATTGGTAATGGGATCGAGAGGTTTTGTGTAAGAAGTCACTACACCTCCATTGGACATCTCTGTGGGTACAAAATGCTGTCTTACTAACCCATCAAGGATTTCTTTTCTATTATCGGACATCACCAGATGACTGAACGCCTCCTTGTCAAAACTAATCTCCGAAAATTTCAAGCCCTCGAATTGACCCCATTCCTTTAACGCAAAGCTGAACCCGTATACTAACGCAGGTGCGAGTAGGTAATTAGCTTTCTGATGAATTTCATCCTCATTGAGATAGACACCTTTTTCTCCGAGTAACTCAATGTCACATTTGTTTGGTGGTAGAGCATTTCCCATCTTATAGTTGGGATTCATGATTGAAAAACTTTCGAGATCAATCATGACACGACCATTGGCTCTAATCTTCTCCAACTGCATGCAATTGTTAACCTTTCGCCAGCGTAATAACGGGCCCTCATAATTCATAAAGTTGCTTCCTAAGGCAAGGTCGAAAAAACGTTTACCATTTTCAATAATAGCGTTCTCGAGGAATGCGATTGTTTTAGAAAATTTGAATGGAACGACGGGTAAATCAGAGAAGCAAACTTCTCCCTTATAGTATTTGATCTTACTCGTTATAAAGCAACGCTTAAATCCATTACCGTCGCAGTCGATGGCCTTAATTTTATAGTAAACACCCTTTTAAGTTCATGGTCAACAATTTCAAGTTGGTCGTCTATCGAGGAAATGATACCACCGATTTGCTGACCAGACATATCACATCGACTACGAACAATGGTTTTCGAATGCAAGGCTGTTAAGCTTAATCTGAAAGCAAATAATGAAAAAAAAAATAGTCACGGTGATCAATAAAAACATAATTACTTACTACCATACGTCCAAATTCGGGGTATAAAATACCCATAACATGTCATATGAAATTACTCGCTGTTCAAACATTCTTTTACGAGTTTTGTTCGTCTGATCGAATTCCTGTTCAAGGAATCGAATCAAGTGATTCAAATGGATCTTTTCAACCTCCAGGTCAGACGCTTTTATAAGGATTAAATTCCATAAAATTAGTTTATACTTGATTCGTTTAACGTGGCTAGGAAAGATATTAACAGGACAGACCCACATACCACCATCTTCAGTTACAGTTTCAGATTTAGAATTAGAGGTATAAATTGACATGAGCTTTTCAAAAACGTGATACAAATCACGTGCTTCGATCCTGGGCGCATCATTGAGAATTTTTTTGTCGTCAAGAAGGACACTTCTTAAGGTCTTGATCAATGAATGGGAACTCAACTCAACAAATGTTGTGCAAAAATCCTTGGAGACCTGCAAGTAAACGACCTTAAAGGGAACGATTTTGCTTTTCTGGATGCTTTCAATCATTTCCTTTCGTGATTTCTTTCCGCTTGATGAATCGTACCATTCATCAAAGCATGGCCATTCCAGTCCACCTTTAAGATATCATCGAGAGTTACATCGGCGACTTCTTTGTCTTCTGCTAATACCTCATCGTATGGAAAACTTGGCCTGACGGTATAATATCGATGCCTCATCATAATTGATTTTAAATATATTAATAAATATTATTATTATTAATTTTATTGCACTAACTTTAAGTGAATTTGAATTTTAAAATTTATTCTTGGGGAAAATTGAAATGATTAAATACGAAAGAAGGATACGTTTTATTATTTATATACAAATTTTTTTTTAAAAAAAAAATAAATGAATAAATAAATATGGTAAGATTTTCGATCAACCAAAACGAAATATATATATATGGGAAGTTTGACTAAATTAAGACACGATAATTAAACCTACATTTATCTACATTACACATGGTCTAGCGTGTATCGTTAATCTAATAACATCCAAAACTAACTTCCCAATATGTCAAAAAATTTGACTACCCGTAGAAACTTTACGCCAAGATTCTTGGCTAAAAGTTTGATCTTTTAAAAATTACTTTTTTAAATCTCTTTTTTTAAATCCCTTCCTTTCAAAAATTTACTTTTGTTTTTTAAAAAAAAAAAATTTGATCTTTTAAAATTTCCCTTTAATTCTCTTTTTTCAGATCCCTCCCTTTCAAAATTTCCTTTTTTTTTTTTAAAAAAAGTTAGTCTTTAAAGGATTATTAAAAACGAGATAATGAATCGATTTTAGCATTATAGTTTAAACCAATATTGTAATGTCCAAAAGATTGGACACATTGGATCAAAAATGAATGGCATTTGAAAACATTAGCAAAATAAAATCCCCAATGTGAATTAAGATCACAGAAGATTAATTATAATAACAAGGGAAAATGTGATGAAAATTTTATAAACCAAATGTTTTTCTCTAAGCAAGTTACGGATTAAATTCATTAATTGACGTTCTCTCAATTTAAATTAGAAACGAGTTAATATTAGAGTTTGGAACCGGATTTATCAATCCGTTTAAAAAAGTAAATGATCATATCATTTACTGACATAAGACCTACGATCCAAAATCAAAATTTAAAATCATGTCATTTCTGGCCCTTACATGAACACGTGATTTTCTTAATAAAATTGTTAACGTGTGAACAATTCTAGTTTTGACAAAATCAGTCTTTTATATTTTACATGATATCGTTTCGAGGTTTTTACTCGCATGTTCTTAGTGAAAAGTAAATTTTCAAATCGACCTGTCAACCAACGCGTTTTTTACATGTTTTGTTAATTAAAAAAATGTCCCTCCCATCAGAAATATCACTCAACCCAAAGGTTTTTTATTCAAAGGTAACGGTAAAGCACAAAGATATCTTTTATTATGTATTAGTGTGGATTTAGTATTAGTAAGTACCATAAATTTTGAATGACAAATTATTAGCTATTATTTTAGGTGGGTGTCATTTGAATTTGTCACTTGTCTGTTATTAACTTTGTGGGGTCTATAGGTGCAGTAAAAACACTGACATGTACTAAGTCTTGTGGTGTCTCTTTGTAGGTTTATCCTCTTGAGAATATATATTCCTATATGCCCAATTTCTCTGAAGCACGAGAGTAAGCCTTTGAATTTATGGTTAAATTTCTAATGGACGAAACTAACACAACGTTCTAAGTGATAAAAAAAGAGAAGGTGTTTAGAAAGTAAGTCAAATCAGAATCAATCAAAAGAGAGTTTGACATCCCAAACATATGCCATAGGAATAGTATTATCTGCTAGCAGAGTCACTTAGTTTTTGATATTTTACGTGCAAAAATATGTAGTCGTTCATGATGGGCATGTTAAAAAATCAACAACATGGAATTACTGATTAATTTATTTAGTCACAAGATACAACAAATGGAAAATTCGAACGATGACGAGGAGCGTCATAAATCTTGAGAATGTGTCAAAGCTACGGCATTTACATGTTAAGTTTGGATATGAAGGGCTCGTTGGAAAAAAAATTGGTTAGAATGAATCATCTCACTTTGGTCGAATTTACGATATGAATTGTACTTCGGTACGATTACCAGTATTTAAACAATTTATATTTTTAAGATATATTTAATAATTGTTTTGAATCAACGGGTATGTTTAAATTAATTAAATTTAAATTAAAAAGAAAAATATTGCTACATAAAAAATTAAAAAATACAGAACAAAAATTTATTTTATATCATGCCAATGCTGTTGTCAAATGAATTTTTTTTATTCTAGTTTTTTTTTTTATTGAAATCATCAATGATCGGTTATAATTTTAATTTTTAAAACATTACATATTTAATAATAATGTCAACGGTGACTAGTACGAAAGTATCATAAAATAACGGCACAGACTCAAATTTCGTAAAAGTAACATTATTTGTAATAAAAAAAATGTAATATCAGAAAAAATATTAAGTTAATAAATAACTTTTTGTAATAATGATTTTTTTTAAAAAAAGGTTATAGGTAATTTTATTTACTATTTTATTAAAAATTATAAATAATATGAACATTTAATAATAAGTTATGGATAATATGATTTATAAATTAATTTTTTAAAATTGATTTTGTTTAAAGTTATAAATATTTAACATATACAAAAAAATAATTTTCTATAAGTTACAAAATAGATAGAAGAAAAATAAAATTTATTTGTACAAAATTGCTCAAGTAAAATTAATAATTGTTGGATTACATAAAGCTCAGTGATAGAGTTTAATAATTCTGGCTCTAGTCAAAAAATTGAATTTAAATTTAAATTGTTTTATATTTTGTAGTGCTACTATTGTCCCTTGATTATTTACATTTATGCAAACAGTATATATAAAATCTTAAAATATTAATACGTGTTATGACGCGTAAATAGATTCTCACTATGACGTAATTCATAGATTATTTATGTGATTACTCACAATTGTTAAATTATTGATCCTTTTTTCAAATAGACTAATGATGAAAAGCCAAAATATGAGTTAGCTTGAATCCAATGAAAGGAAAAGTCAACCTTAAGGATATGTCCTTGTTAGGGAAACGTTGAAGTGAAATGACCATAGTGACTTTTTTTTTAAATTCCTTTGCGATTTTTTAATTTAGTTTTAGGGTATTATTTTTTACAGCTTTATACCACTTGTGCTATTTAGTTTAACGATCAGGTTTATAATACTTTAGGACATATTGTAACCGTTAAGTTTATCGTAGCCTTTCTCAATAAGCCCACCTTTAAGTTAATTTAAATCTTTGATCAAAAAATTTATTTTTCCTCTAAATAATAATAAATTAATTAAAATTTTTTCTTTTTTTTTTTTAAAGAATTATTGCATATTCTCTTGCGAATATTACCACATTTGTAGTTATAACCAAAGAGGGCAAGCTTATTTAGGTGAATTAGACTAGATAAAATAAATGTGATAAAATAATTTAAATCAGAATATGGTATCTGGAAATTAAAGTAAGTTTTGATCTAACATCTCTTGTGAATTAACTGATTGCCTTCGAATTTAATAACCTAAACTTTTAATTCACCATGTGACAAAAATCAGGAATACTTTAGGAACCTTTAATTTCCTTTTAAACTTCTTACCAAGACCTTTCTAATTAATGGTATTCATTATACAGACAAGCCTGTCTGTCCCACGATTACATCGTACAGGAAATCATTCACATCACTAAAACATCACTTTATTGAGCATTACTTGAAGTTCATAATCAGAATATGCGATCTACCTTGATCTTTATAGGGAGGTGATAAAGAGGTTACATAGGTTGTCACAATATCTAGGTGGTTTAAGAAGTTGTTGTGATTTACAAAGGAAATATTAAAGACGAGAAAAGTAAGAGTGGTAAATATTCAACAAATTAAACGAACCCACCTGAAGATTTAATAAAATGGATTTTCAGATGATGTAGAATTCAGAAATATGGGTATCTTAGGACTTTTTACGGTCAGACAAAGGGTAACAGTAATTCTGTCTGTTCAAGCCAATAGAATTTTGTGCGACATTGTGCTACATATGATGTAACTAAAAATAGAAATAGCACATTACCGAAAAATTGTGATAATGATTGTTTTATTTCACTGCGCATAGTTATATGTCATATAATAATAAAATTTAAAAGTTTAAAATAAAAAGTCTAAAAAGTCTAAATGAATCATATAAATAAATTTAATTGTATAAGTGGTTCTTTCTGTTGTCTTTCACATGATAAAAAATATGGACAATAAACTAATAATGCGTAAAAGAAGAGAAAACGAAACTTCGGAAGAACATGAAGTGCGTCTTTCACGTGCTCTTCCCATTGCAGTATTCATAGAATTTGATGATTACACTGGTCCCGCAATTACATCTGCAGAAGGTAAAAATGTTGTTCCAATTCCACCTATACGATGTACCTGGGAGACAAATGCAGGAATTTGCTCACGCTTACAAATTCCTGTCAGCCTTTCCTGGGCTATCACTGTACATAAAAGTCAGGGGCTGACATTGTCAAACGCCATTATTGATATTGAAAAAAAGAATATGTTTCGGGTCTCTCATTTGTTGTGGTATCTCGGGTTCGTGCTCTTGAGAATGTTCTCTTTAAATCTTTCTCACTTGAGAGGCTTCAACGAATTAACAAAAATGAAAGAATTAAAGAATGGAAAATTGAAGAGAATCGTTTAATATCAATGATAGTAGTATGATATCAAATGTAGAAATAATTTAATTATACAAACAATAATATCAATAAGTGTGTTCAATTTATAAGTTTTATATTTTTATTAAATAATTGCTCAAACAATTAATAATTTATGATAAATTTATATGCATTGATATACATTGATATACATTTAAAAAAAAAATTGTTACAAACAAGTGACGTATCTAAAAAAAGCAAATGTCTGCATCCCTATAATATAACGAAAATATAACTAAACATAACATAACGCGACGCTTCGGACCCACAACGAGTCCCGTTTTACTAGTTAGAATTCATTCGATTCGATAGACCTCCAATGAAATCATTAGTGTTCAGTGGCATCTAATAATTTAAGATCAATTTATTAAGTCACCTACTGCTTTTTTAAAAATTATCCCAATATTGCTTTAATAAAATTTAATTCTACTTTAGATTTTTTTGAAAAAACATAATCACGATCAATTACAGGTCTTTATCATAAAACCATGAATAAACAGACCAATCAAAGAAGTTTTAATTTTACTTTTTTGTATTCAATTTACAAATATTTATGAGAGAATTAACAGATTTAATAGACCTGTTTGGTCGTATAAAATTTTTGATGCAGAGGGACAAGGGAGAAAAAATGAGGAAATTATGGCAATTTTAGATTTAATTTAGTTAATTTAAATAAATACTTCTAATTATTCGTTACTTGACAAAATTCTTATGAAATGGCGAAAGATAAATACTAGAAAAATAAATAATTTATTTGATGCGAAAAACAAACTCAAATTACTATAAAGTTGGCAATCACTTTCTTGGTTTAGACTATTTGAAGTTAAATACGTTTTTGAGACGAGAAACATACTGTATATAGAGAATATTTAAATTTATTAGACGTTGGTTACAATGGTAGGGAAGAAAAACCTTATAGGAATATACCGTGCAGGTGAAACATTATTTGGATCTTGTTATTTGATTTTTTTTATTTTAGTTTTCGATTCAATTGTATTTTTATGATTAAATTTTATTTGTTTTTATTTAATTAAATTTTTACTATGAGCTATGACCTTAACGTTAATTTTTGTTTTAATTATTTTTATTTTAATTTAATTTTTTTATTGTTAATTCTTTTATACAGAACATTCTCTTCGGATTCTTAAGGTAAGTTTTCTTTTGGAGGTTTCTATGGAGTTTTACTTTTTTACTTACTAATTTTTTTAGGAGCGTTACTTTCTTTCTCTTGTCTACTTTCGAAATTCTCTGGGATTCTTCGGAAGGTTTCTTTTTTTTTCTTCTGTTTTTGGATCTTTCATTCTCTTGGATAGGTAAATCCTCTTTCAGAAGGATCTTTTAGGGGTGTATTCTTTTCTTCTTTTTTTAGGTCATGATTCCCCGAATTTATAATCTTTGTTGGAATTATTAAAACCCTCCTAAATACATGTGTCGTCGTCATTTAGTCTTGGATCCCTTAAATTCCTAAAAAATAAAATTTCTTTTCTCAAAATTAAAATTTATGATCGACTTTTTCTGATGCTGGATTCATTTTATTAATCATCTTTAAGTTATATTCGGGATGGAAGCTGAATTAGCATATAAATGTAAAAATTTTGATAAATAATTAAATTTTTTTTTTTTTGGTAAATAAAAAACTTTTTAATAAATACCTGTTAAATTATCTTTTTGATATAACTGTATGTTCGTTATTTTTTGATCGAAAATAATTCGATAATTGAAACAATAATTGATTTTATTAATAAATGAAAATAACTAGACGTGATGCAGTGTAATAAGTAGTTATTTTCTTTATGATAATCAGTTTATATTTATCACATGACTAGATGTTCATACAACCTGTGTTAAAGTAAAAAAAGGCAATTTTCAGAATAAAAACCGAAATCGTCGATTATTTATTAGTTTAAAAAATTGTTGCTTACGTTATAATGTTAACTTGGTTTGAAAATATTTTAAAAAAAAGTAAAAAATAAAATAAAATCATCATCGATAATTGAGTTAAAATAAAATGTTCGTAAACCGGTCCGGTTAATTAACCGATTAAAATTAACTTAGGTCAGTACTATAAAATTAAACAATATTTTTGCAATCATAAAAATCTCAATTCTGGCGAAAATTGAATTTCAGTCGGAGTTAATTTCACCAATTTTAACCGTTAAGAAAAAATCTTTAATCGGTTAACCGGTTAATTAACCGGTTAAAAATTAATTGCGATTTGTTGTCTGACTCGGATGTATCTTTACAACTCTTTGTTGAATATCGGAAAAACGTTCGCTATAAAAGTTGCATGAAAAGAAACCTCCTCAGAACTAATATCAAGGATCAAATTTTTCTCTATACATATTCGATATTAATAACTTAGAGATTATATGACTATAATAATCCTTGTATCGTTATCCCTATAAAAAAAAATTGTCTAGAAAATGTTATCGAAAATGTCCGGGTGCATATGGAAAATGTCCGGAAAATGTCAAAATCGTCCGGAAAGTGTACCAAAACATGGTGGATTCCGGACTTCGCGTGATTTTTTGATATTGTCCGGAATTTATACCGAAACATGGTGGATTCCGAACATTATCTGGATACTACGGAAAATTCCAGATTTTTTTTTCATAGGGCATATGTAAGAAATATTTTCAATTGATTTGTATAAATAAAAAAATCATTATTTATTTTAATTACAATTTAGTTGAACGTGTGTGAAGCAACAAGTAATAATAGTTCAGTGAATTTACGTAATTTTGATATCGTTAACGTTTCTTTCGCTATAATTGATTTGACCTTAATATTTGTTTTATATAGCTTTTTCCGAAGTATTTAATGGTTAATATTATTGGCTATTCTCTTAGATATAGTGGCCCAACATGTATTCATCCTTGTAATTTTAATCAAATGTTTTTATTAATTGCGCTTAGCTCTCAGAAACTGAAAGTCATTAGTTTACTAATCGAATTATAATTGTGCCTCAATGACGATTGTCATCAGATGTCTAAATTACCGGCCTGAAATGTTTGACTAGCATTTTCTAATGGAGTCCAGTTTATGAAACTCGACGAAATTAATGCTCAAATGCAACCAAAGATATAACACTTTACTATTCGGTCATTTTTATATTTTTGTGATATCTTACAAGTATTTAGTAGTAAGTTAATTAGAACTTGAATAAGCCTCTTAGAATCATTTATAACAAAAAACAATGATCACCTTTCTTTTAGTCACTTACATGATCTGACATTAATAAATCTTAAAAGCTTAAACAAAAACCATTTCAACTAATACACTTTCCTTAGATGTGAAAACAAAATGTTTGACTGAGAAACTTCGTACACAGATATTATCTTAATGTTACTATCTATATATATATGAATACTAATGTTAATAATTCACTCTGAAAATATTGATTGAAATTTCTAATATTATCAGAATTTATATTTATTAGTATTCAATTGTGAAACAAGAATTATATTAACGTTGAGAATTAATTTTTGCTAACTTTACATACATAAAAAATAAAATAATGAAACTTCAATCCTTAAATTTTAGATTTATATTATCGTCAATTTTGAAATGTTTTCCTGTTTTTAATTTTTTTTTTTTTTAAAAAAAAAATAATGATAATAAATTATCGAATATAAAATATTATATGCAAAAAAAATAAAGATTACCATTCTTGCTTTGATCTTTAATTTTAAAAAATCAAATTTCGTAATCATTTAGGTTGGATTTAAATCATAAGCGTCCCAATGATTTGTTCATATGTGATATACTTATGATAGTATTCAGCTGTATTATCCTTTTCGGTATCAATAGGAACATGCTTACTGCATCCTTTCATTTTATTTTACCCATTTTCATAACGAATGTGTTTAACCAACTGGATTATACTTTTAGATATGATCAAAAGCAAGAAGTGAAAATCTGCCATCTTTCATTAAATACAGTATAGCGAAGAAAATTCAGCCTTGAGAAAACAAATAAAAAAATTATATCCAATTATGATTATTCTTATCATTTCCTCTTCTAAATTTAAACATTTCTGATCAATAATATTGGTACAATCTTCGTTTACACGGCTAATTGCGTCAAATGCCAAAGAAAACGGGATCTAATCTTAATGGAACCTTCCTAATATTTCTATATCAAAATTGTCTAATTTGTGACTTAAATCAAAATTATAATTATTAATGTTCTTTGTGCACATTATCTCTAATAACGTAATATTTTCATCAAATTATAATATCCGTCTGACAATAAAATCAAATTGACCAACATTAAATACATCGAGGTATAATAAAACTAATTTCTCTAATTAAACGCAGGTTTTACAAAAAATACATAAGATGCATTTGTACTTAGGTTGCGAAATATCATACATAACCTTTGTTCGTTTTACTTGTTAACCAAAAAATCTTGCAGGTTCGATCGGTTCTATCTATCGTTATAATTTTTATATTTAAAGGAGCTCTTTGTGATTTTTCACGTAAAAGTTAATTTAAATAATAAATATTGCTAATTTAAGTATTTAAATTACTAGATTCTACCACGTCCGAAATTTTAAATAATATAATAATAATGCATTGCATTAGAAAAAAAAAATATTAAAAAATTTGGATTAAAATAGCTACCTTTTATCACTTACAGTATCAACGTTCAATACTGTTCAAGTACTCCTGGATACCAAAAAAAAATGAAAATGAAAGTGATTTCTGAACTTTCATTTGGATAATTGCGGACTTTAAGCGACAGTTTCTTTATTTTATTTCATTAGGTGCGGATTAGCAGTCATATTACTTCACTTTTAATATTGTCAAAAAAAAGTTATATTATAATGTTTAATCTGGAAATTTGTCATCGCAGTCTATGTTTATGGCTTTTAACGAAATTTACTTGAAATTATAATAACACCAATTTTTATAAATAGAACAATAAAAACACTCCTTGAATGATTTTTCCTTGGTTTTTTATCGCTTTACGCAACAAATTAATTAAGTCACGACTATGGATGATGGACGAAACCTCTTAAACTCAGACGAGCTATATTAAATTCATAATAAGTAACGCGACGAAACTCTTCCGATACGACGAAAGCCGAAACTTACGATACTATTAAAAACATCGATTTTATCTATAATTGTGACAAATGACTAAACTTTTGATTATGAGGTTGTTTTATTTTGTAAAGAATTTGATATTGTAGCTATGGAACGATATATGGTTTAGCCATAATGTATTAACAAAATATATTGGATCAAAGTTACAGTGCTGACCCAAAATTAATAAATACCGCGTTATCCCATCACGTTATAACATATGATTTGTACCACTGCAATGTTCGGAGAATATTTTCCATTCATAATTCCTTTTATATCCTAACAATTTTATCCAGAGTTTATTTTTTTTTTAAAAAAAAAAAATGTATGAAAATGAAGCCCAATTCGACAAATTAATTGTTTCAAATAATAATTGTTCTTATTGCAATAAACTATTTGCCGAGAAATTATGGTTTAAAGAATGTGATCCTTTGTGTAAAATTGAAGGATAGACTAGTGTAAATTCTGAAATTGATAAATTCATAAAAGAAACAATATATAATGCAAGACATGGAAAATATCTTGAATGGGTGCCTTTTGATAGATTCACAGATATAAAAGAAATTAGTGAAGGAGTCTGCAACATGGATCGATGGTAATTCAAAATTTGAAAAGCAAGATGATGGAAGTTGGAAAAAATCGGTTCCTGAAAGTATGAAGGTTGCTTTTAAAAGGTTAAATGGATCACGGAATATGTCATCTAAATATTTTAGTGAGGTATATCACATTTATAATTGATATGAATTAATAAGAATATTCTTCTAATTTGCTCTTAATTTTTTATTACAAAAATAGCTTAAAACACATTGGGACATACATCAAATGGATGTTGGTGTATTAGATTTTATGGGACAACTAAGGATCCAGAAACCGAAGATTTTATTATGATCGTAGAATTTGCATCTGAAGGAAATTTGAGAAGTTATCTTTCAAATAAGTTTAAAAATATTTTATGGAAAGATAAAATTATAATATTAAAAGATTTAACTTCTGATATTTGTGTTTTACATAATTTAGGATATTGTTATAAGGACCTTCATAGTGGAAATATTTTGCAAGATAAAGATTCTTATATTTCAGACTTTGGGTTATCGGAAAATATATGGTGTATTACCGTATATAGCTCCAGAAGTCTAGAATGGAGAATTATATACTACAGATTCTGATATTTACAGTTTTGGTGTAATTATGGCTGAATTATCAACTGGAATCCCTCCCTTTGATGATAGAAAACATGACGTTTCTTTAGCCTTGGATATTTGTAATGGAATTCGTCCAGAATTTGGAAAAGGAACACCTGAATTTTATAAAATATTAGCTTATAAATGTATTAATGCAAATCCATATCAAAGACCAACAGCCAAATAAATGTTTGGTTTTTTTCTATTTATCAATATGAGAAAAATAAAGATATCAAAGAATATGGATATTATGGAAAAGAAATAAAGGAGGCATTTGAAGAGGCAGATAAAGAGATACCAAATATTTTAATTTCACGTAAAACGAATCCTGATGCTATATATACAAGTAGAGCATTTACATTTAAAAATTTGACAAAACCTATTAATTCGTCTCTTATCACCTCATATCTTGAAAAGGATGAGAATTATGAAGGTATTATAAAAATTATTAATTTGCTTTATTAAGGATAGTTACTAATTCTATTGCATTCTAATAAATTTTTAAGATTCTCAATTAATCGAATTAGAAATTCCTAAATAATTTCAATCAAGAGGTAATACGAATGATCGATATTTATGATTGCAATAATTGAAGTTTATTAAAATATTTAAAATTGTTAGTCTAGAAAGTTATATAGTGCAGTTTACATTTGTAATAATTATTTTAGTGTTCATTTTAGAATTTCTCATATTTGGACTACACCTAAAGGTTAAATCAAATAGTATTTATTCTTTTTATTAATAAATTATATATATTATCAAAGTTTCATGACATCAAGTAAGCTAACCATTTAACTCATCAACTTGTTATCCAATTCATTCAAATTTTCATAATATAAATTCATAAAGCTTACCTCTTATAACAGTAAGAAGAAAGTTTGAAAAAATTAGAATTTTCTCTGATATTATTTTGCTAAAACTTTACGAACCTGGATTTTCACAATTGAAAATAATAAAAATTTATTGTCAGTTAAATTTATTCTTGGAATTTAAATGGGGATGTTGATTAAAATAAAAAGTTTCGGAAATTAAATAATTGTAACTTCTTATGAGTATTGTCACTCGTGAGATTTCCCAGCCAGATATCCGAGGATATAGTTTAGGTACGACCAATTTTGTATAGGTACACTCCCCGGTCTAAAGTATTGGACCACTTTAAAATTATCGCAATTTTAAAATTTAATAGCCAACTTTAATTTTAACTATGAAAAATTTTAATAAGTAAATTTACAAAAAATTTTTTTATTTTATTACAGATGATTGTAAGGTAGATTCTCGATTCGCAAACATGATTGAATAAGTAGTACTTCCTGCGATTCTGTCAAAAGAGTCCAATGTAAAACACCAGATTCCATCGGAAGAACAAAAACTTCGTCCTTCTGCGTCATCTCCACTGAAGTTCAAGCAATTGTTGTATCCATTGTCTGCCTGAAAGCATACATCACCGTTGAGATTTGAAAATCCAATTTCCGTAACGAAGCTGGACATAGTTCCTGCAACTTCGACATATATAGCAATAGCAGCTGGCACATAAACGTTAGGAAATGAATAAATTTGGTGAACATTTCGAAACAAGAAAATTTTGGTTGTATTAATTTGTATTAACGTAGAGTTCTCCATGCTAGTTATATAATTATCCGGTGTGGCTGTGTTTCATTGATAAATCTAAATGTTTTGGTAAATAGAAAATAAAGGCACGAGCAATTAAATTGCGCAATTTTTTAATTCAAATAATTCGCAATATTGCGCAGTTACTTCGCGCAATATTGTAGTATATTCGGCTCAATTGCTTGATCTGAAATTCCGGCGAAATCTGAGATTAAAAGAATAATTTCAGATCCGAGATTTTGTGGCATATTTCTTCAGAGCGCAATTTTGGATATGCAATATTTCGAGGAATTCTATCACGGAATCTCGGATTAATTTATTTAACAACATCGAACGCGCATCAAAATAAGATGCTTCTGATATGTAATCATTTCCCTTTTTTTTAGAATTACAAATATGGAAAACACAATTTGAAGATTTTATAAAATGTTCACTCAAAATTTGGCTATACCTAAAAAGACAATTTAATTCCTCTTCAAGTGTTCTAAGAGAGATTCTTTCATTAGAAGATCCTTCAGAAAGTTATTAGTTTAACCTGATTAAATTTCTTGTAATTCTTCATTAAGAGTTCAGCTATCTGTAATGCATCTTGAGTTTCCCACAACTCCTTATTTCATCTAGCTTGAATATAAGCGCTATTAAAGAGACCTGAACCCGTCTCATTCTATATCAAATGTGCCTAGATTACTTAATCGATTGAGATATCTAATCCAACGAGTAATTTGATCTTTGATTCTTTTACTTGCTCAGTTTCGTTGTAATACTGAGGAAGAAGATGCTGATGATGATGATGAGGAATATATTAAATTAAAATGCATTAAGCTCAATTTTAGTCAATAATTTCTCATAATCTAATTTTCCTAGAAATCTTTCTCGTATGTATTATATAAATATTAAAAAAATTTTTAAATTTTTTTTTAAAATTTTAAATTTCTATTTTATATTTTTCATGATTTTGTAAAACCATTGTAAATACCGTAAAATGGAATTATTTGTTCCATTAGTCCACTTTAAGAAGTCATAACTGCATCTTAAATTTACCATAAAAATAAATTTATGATTTATATTAATGCAAAATGTAGAAAATTTTAAAATGCATTCGCGATACCTTAATGACTAAAATACCCATTAATATACCACTAAGGAATTATCACAGCATTTTCCTAGCACTTTGAAAATTTTAGGGTTTCAGTAAAGATATTAAACTACTAGCGATGAATTTATTTTATTGATATTAAGTTTTAGTAATAAAATCGCACACACTACTCCGTGAAAAATAAAAGATCATGTGACCCAGTGAAAAATTTTTACGCAAAGAGGAAATTTTATCTAATTCATTAGTTTTAGATTGCCTCGTTATTTATATAGCGATAATGTACTGAGTATATTCCAGAAATGTGCCTAAAACGAACGGTCTTTCTTAAACAATTTTATTTCTAATGACAGTACAGCACAGCGTTAACTATGTGGTTTGTGGCATTTTAAACTGAGACTATATTTCGCATATACGGAGTTTACATTATAGAATTTTTTATTGATACAAAACACACATCACATTACATACATATGTTTAAAAATAAAGCCCCGAAATCGTAAGTGAACAATAACAACAATTTTTCATTATAATGCATAGTCATTAAATTTTTCGATGAAAACTGATGAACTAAATTAAAGCCCTGACCCAGGATTATAATTTATTATATAATAAAACATTGCATTTGTTTTGTCATTTCTTTTTAATCACATTGAAAGACATAACCTGAGACGCATTGTGATTCCTTGAATTAATGCTTTTATTTTTCAAACAGTCCAAAAAAATTCTTCCCAGCATCCAAATTCACCATATTAAGTTTCTCACACATTTTCCAAATTGATACATATCAGATTGTGATGTATACTTATTACCCTTGTTGGCTTGGTATCTGTAAACTTAAACGATAAACTTTTAATTAAATCCGTCGAATTAAATATAAGACAATATCACAATCACGCCTGTATGAAGACACGACAAAAGGCAATAGTAAATGAATTTAAAGATTCCTTTATTGAACTCTTGGTTTATCCTAAAACCTTAACTTGAGTTACTTTTCAACTCAAGTGAAAATACAAGATATTTATATAAAATGAAATAATATAAAATCAACTATAACAAATATAATAAAAAGAATAAATAAT